TAATGCAAGAGTCCCAACATCTTCAGATTAATTTTTATAGCGAATGATGAAATGTTATTAATAGTTATTTTAGTGTTGTTGATTAAAATCATCGGAAAAGTCATTGTTGAAAATTAAGAACAAATTTAGTTCCAAGTATAGCGTCCTGGGGAAATGTGCATTAGTAAAAAAAGAAAAAGATCTAGACGAGTGGCCATTCAACACAACTTTAATTAACAGATTGAATTACTTAAAAAGATTCTTCTTGAAATATCGTAGCCTTTCAAATTGCGGAGAAAACCGGTATGCCACATTCTGCCGAAAGCTATCGAGATGCCCAAAGGAACATCCCGAGCTTCGTCATATTAATTATTATAATTTTGCTATGCCACTAAACAAACAAAGAGACAAATAAACAGATAATAGAATACTCTATGAATTCAAGCGCCCTACGAGGCTGGCATCCCGCTCCCACCCTTACACTCTAGAAACTTTTAAATGTAGCCTTTTCTTCTACTCCAATAGCTTCCTACCTCGCACCTCTCGCCTGCGGAACACCCTTTCCAATTACTGTTTCCCTGAGAGCTATAATCTCCAACTATTCAAATGTAATGTCAATCGACATCTCCAATTACCTTGATCTACCCACTATCCTTCTCCTCATCCTTTTTTCTATCACTCCTATCTGCTCTCGCTCCAAATCTTCTGCAACCCCCTGCATCCTAGTGCCTTCACGCCTTGCTTGGGGCGTAATGCTTAAAAAACAAAACAAAAAAAAACAGAAAAAAAAACTATATACCATGTTTCGTCTTTTAAAAGGACTTCATCAGGCTAAAATAATGATCGTATTGATGTATTTATTTATATAGATAAAGGACAAGGTAATATATAAACAAAACCGTCGATTATAATCATGCACCATAATTAAAGCTGTTTCGATTTGAAGCCACATTACAAATCAATGTAATTTCTCATCTGCAGCAAATTTATAGGTAACACTAACTCACCAAAAATAATTATGGTCTTCCCACCTCATCAGAGTATTTTTTTTACCTCGAATGATGAAATGTTATTAATTGTTATTTTAATGTTGTTGTTTAATGCGCACAATGTGGTTGTTCGTCCAGTATGTATGAATGTTATTCTTCTGTCTTGTATTAATGAAAAACAAAATCATAATATCTGTTGTTTCCAAAGCTATTCACTTGTGTGAATCTCTGATATTAAAATAAAATCCTTTGATTTTATTTTTTTGGAGACAGCATAAATCGTTATAATCATTATAAACTTTTAAATAAATACATTATTTTATTTGCAATTTGCCTTCATTTAAACTTCGGGTTAAATCTAGAATCTCGTCCTGGTTAAGACGATAAACTGCCTCCGCGTCGTGTGTCTGACAGCGGGAGGTTTTGAGGAACGTGGAACCACTAACCCTAACTACCTCTTGATTACTGGTGTTCCTGGGTCTGCCTTGACTCGGGGTGGTGGCAACAGTTGCGGTCCCAGCTGTTGGCAAGAGTTTGGCCCCCAGGCTGGAGTCGGACGCTGTGGAGGTATAAAAATGGGTTTTAATACCAGCAATGCATTTTTGAGAGAAAGATCATTGCCGGAGATGCATTTTGCAGAAGAGGCCAAATTTTGCCTGCAATGCTTTTATGAAGGGAAGATTATTACAAGCAATACTTTTTTGAAAAAAAAACATTAGGAGCAATTCATTTGCGGAAAAATATTACCGGCAATAGAAATCTTGTTGATATTAAATAACCCATTGAGTAAAACAAACCCAACTAAAATGAACAAAAAAAAATCTTTTTGGCATTAAATAACCCTTTGATGTTGATATGTCACAAAACAAAGCAAACCAAATCTAGAATCATAATTTTTGATTCTATAATTATTAAATGCCTTTGAGATGATGTATGTAAAATATTTGCCATAGTCACAATGATTTGCCAGGGAGCTGACATTTTGATACTGTAGATTGGGAGGTGACCCCAGCGCGCGTTTACTTTGGAAAGTGTCTGAAAACCATAGTGTTTGTTAGCCCAAGCCCTGTCAATGAAATTTGGTAGAGGGGAAGTAAGAACGCTGTCGACGGTTGTGCCAGCACGGAGTCACAAGCAATCCGGACCGAGGGTTTGATATCTATCTATCTATCTATCTATCTATCTATCTATCTATCTATCTATCTCAGTCTGTTTCTTTCTATCTATCTATCTATCTATCTCACTTTTTCATATGTATCTAAATCTATTTATATCTAAATCTATCTCCTTCCTATCTATCTATCTATCTATCTATCTATCTATCTCAGTCTGTTTCTTTCTATCTATCTATCTATCTATCTATCTATCTATCTCACTTTTTCATATGTATCTAAATCTATTTCTATCTAAATCTATCTATCTATCTATCTATCTATCTATCTATCTATCTATCTATCTCAGTCTCTTTCTTTCTATCTATCTCAGTCTGTTTCTTTCTATCTATCTATCTATCTATCTCAATTTTTAATATG